TTCCTTAAAACTTATTAATTTGGGGGTGGTAGTAGTAAATCTGGTTTTAAACAGATAATGGGAAAGCTGAAAGGCAGAACTGAGTTGATGCCTCAAGGAAAGTGGGACTGGTGGACAAACGAATAAAAAGCTTTGGGAGACAAGAAGGGGACAGACCAGTGTGACTAATAACTTGTTTTCTGGGGTAGGTGCCAAATCACCTGGATGTGATGGGGTGAGAATTATTTTCTATCTTGAAGAAAAATGTGTGGTTTATATTGTCTCAGAACAAATAGGCCTGTGACTGATGGATAGTTTACCATTCATGTAGCTGGTTTCATGTACCTTTGACAGCTCTATCCGGATTGCAACAGTTACAAAGGACGATTTTCTTCAAAGGAAGTTACAGGAGGGGAGCGTGTACCCCTCACCCCTGCCTTGGGCCCACTTGGCGCTGCCCCTCTGAGTGAGGGAAGATGTGGAAGTGCAGAGCAGGACTGGCATGGAAAGCCCCCAGGTGCCCCAGAGTCTTCCTGGGTTGGACACGGGTGTCACTTCTCAGGGGCTGCCTTGGGACTCTGGCTGAACTGAGGCCCACAGCACCATTCAGAAATGTCCATGACCCTTCACTATCTCTATGGCTGGGAAAAGGAGGGGACTGTGGACATGAGGAAGAGGAAATAAGCCCATCAGAAGCCCAGGAAAATCAGACCTGGGCAAAGACCGGCCTTGAGGCCATGTAGAGCATTTGGGCTGAATGTGGCTCCTCCATCCCAGACCCAGCCTATTACTAAGACACTGTCTCAACTGACCCACTCCCTTGGCGAGAAGGGGACCCTGAAGATAAGGAGAAGGGCTGTGGTGCTTCTACCCCTCAAGTGGTGGCAGCGAAAATGACAAGTGACCAATGCAGGAAGGTGGCGAGGAGGAGGCAGTACTTCGCCATGTGCATGTGACAAGTCCAGGAGCACTTGGGGTTTGGGTCCATCCTCTTTAAGGCTATTTCAAAGTAGAGAAGTCCAGAGTGGTGCCAAAGAGCAGTTAAAGGCTGATGAGCTGGGGAAGTTGGAAGCCTGGAAAGGCCTCAGCCAGGTTGGGAGACTTTGCCAACACTGGGGCAAGTGACAGGTCTGAGGGCAACCCAGGGCTAGCACTGCCCATGTATTCCGTACAGACCTGCCACCAGAAATGTCTCCAAGCCTCTGGCCTACGACTTTGAAGGGATTAGTAAGGCCTTCAGGCTGACTTTCAAGGAGGCGGCCTCAAGGTGTAACTGGCTCTGCCCCAGGCATACATGGTTCCCCCTGAAGAGGCAGGCTGTTCCTGCTTTTTTTTTCCCTTCAGCATTACCCACACCCCAGACTCTGGAATCTGATGACCTGAGTTCAAGTCCCTTCTCCTCCACTTAGCAACTATGTTATCTTGGGCAAGCCACTTAACCTCTCTGTGCCCAGTTTCCTCAATTGCAAATGGGTATATAGTAGAACAATCTCACAGGTTTGCAGAGAGAAGTCAATAAACTACTGTATCATTTAGCACAGTGTAAACACTAAGTGGTCATTGTTTCTCTTTTTCGTTCTTCTCTTTTTCATAATTACCATTCCATTAATATCAACTATGTGCTAGGCACAATTTAACATACATTTACTTTAAAATATATGTCAAGGACTATGGTAGGTGTTGAGGATACAGTAGTGGATGACTTTTATGACATTATCCAGCATTTGTTAAGCACCTATTTTATGTCAAAGCTCTACTTAATACTCCCCACACATTACGCCATTCACGAAGGTCCTGGCCTTCATGAAGCTCACGGTTGAAAAGAGCTTTACGTACGTTATCTAATGTTGTCCTTCCAAGAACTCCATGAAGGAGATGTTGCTCCAGCTCCACAGATGAGGAAATTGAGACTGAGAAAGGTCCAACAGATTGGAAACAATGAGACTTAGATTCAGATCCCGCTCTGTGGCTCAGAGCTCATGCAATTTCTACCATGACATGCCACTACCGGCACATTGTCAAATATTCATGAATTAATTGTCATACCTATAGACATGTGGGTCTCATGTCCAGGGTATGTGCTCCTGTGCGACTGGATGTCTGAGCCTGCATGTATTTCTAAGACTGGATGCCTTCATTAATAAGTATAAGGGATCTTTGCAATTACGCCTCTGCATCTTACGCCTGAAAGGGACTGTCTGTGTGACATTGTAGGATCGTGCGGCTCAGTGCAGCCATGGTCTGACCAAGGTCAGTGGGACTCTGTGTGTGGGTTGAGGGTATGTCTGCTCAGATGACTGAGGGTCTGTGTGGCTTGGATGGCTCATGCTGGTGGTTGTATTGGTTTGAGGGGCTCTTCTGACTCCCCTGTAAAGGAAGGGAGAGAGGTGCTGGGAGTGGGCAGTCTGCGGGACAGACCTTTCTGGGTGGGGGCCTCCACTGTGCCCAGGCTTGGGCCTTGCTGGCTGGTTCCTGAGCCTGGTGCTGGGTTTCAGGCCGAAAGATGGAGAAGCTCATTTCCCCTTAAACACCGCAGACTAAGGGCCCACAGTGGGCAGAGGCGGGAGGGCGCCATGTCGCTCACGTTACAAATCAATTCATTACCGGCGCTCGGAGTCGCCTCCGATCTTCAAGGATCGGGGATTTGATGAAGAGGATTCATTTCAAGAAATAAACCTTTTAAATTAACCACGAGATGAGGGAAATTTCTTTATTTAAAAAATGCTCAGGCCCTGCTGGCTTTGTTTTCTCTTCCTTATTAGTGTTGTTATTAATAATCCCACCCTCTTTCTAGAGGATGGTCCAGCCTCTCCTGGGAGGCAGTGAGCCACTCGGACTTGGGGACAGACCCCCACCCCCAGGGAACCTCTGGCCAGGCCTGTCTGCTCCACCAGGTCTCAAGGTCCAACAGTGTGGCTGCACCGAGACTCCTGTGCCCCAGGTAGACTCTCAGGCAGGTGGTTGAAAACCTGATGTGGGGCAGGTTGCCTTGGGAAAGTCACCTGACCTCTCTTTCCTCAACAGCAAAATAAACATAGAATCACGACTTTTTACAACCTGACCTTAAAGGTAGGAGTGCATCCCTTGCACATTATCAGTGGGAAACCTGGCTCATCTAGGGCAAGGGATTTATCCAAGGTCACACAAAATCTGCATAGCAGAGATGGTTTGGACATCAGCCTAATTCCTGGTTGTGCTTCTACCTGGAAACGTGCATTTGGATCTGTGATCTACAAATTACAATGCACCTTGATACACATGTACTCACAGGATGTGTGCTAATAGCTTGTCACCTGTATATTATCATCCCTGTTTCACAGGTGAGGAAATCAAGGTGCTCTGGGAATGTACCAGCCAGAGTTCTGACACGAAACATATGACATATTCTCTTGGGTCACGTGAGGTGAGCTTAGTAAAACAACTCTTTTCAAAGGTATGGGCAAGGATTAGGGAAAGTAGAAGTGGTGATGCAGTCCCTGGGCTAGGGACAGTGGGACGCCATGGCCAACCCAGGGCTAAAAGGGAACAAAGATGGACAGCGAAAAGTGACAGAACCAGGAGGGAGATCTGTGTGGAGAGCTGTGGCCTTCAGTGGGGAGATGCAGCCAATTGGCAGCAACCTAGACGGGAGGGAGCCGTGGAAGTAAATGCCCTGACCCCCTCTTATCTCTTGCTGGTGGCCTGTTGGTCAAACCCAAGGAGCCAGCTTCCCAGGCACAGAGCAGAATGGAGAAGGGTGGGAGGAGGTTTGGAGGGCAGACACCCAGCATGGCGGGGAAGGAGCTTTCCAGTACATGGCAGAGAGAGGGTATAACCTCAGGACCCCAGAGTCAAAGGATCTAAAGCCATACATAGCCTTTTCTGCCACCCTGCTCTGCCCCAGTGATACCTGGCCCCTGTCCCACAGCAGTTTTGCACAACTCAAGTGAAATGCTGGGCCTGGGATGTAACTTAGCAGGAGGAATGACATCCCTCCCTATGGCCACTCCAGGAGGAACCCAATAACTGGCGTTGAGTGGTGACAGGTAATAGCATCTCACCTCCAAAGGAACATGCTTACATCCAAGCCTCTGGAAACCCAAGGCTTTCATCCAGCAGAGGGGGCCATGGGAAGACATTGGGTTCCTTTCCCCTGGGGCCCACCCTGCGGACAAAGGTCTGACCTAAATGAGCCTGCACAGCACAGTGCTAGCAGAGGAGAGGTAGGGCAGATGCCACCCGTCAGCTCCAATCTCCCCCAACACACAGGACCCACAGAGGACATCATGCACTTCCTTTGGGGTTATTCCCCATCCAGATTAAAACCCCACCAAAAGGAAAGGGAGGCTGACAGATTATGGTCATAGGGAAAATCAAGGCAAGGGGACCCAGAGAATGTAGAGCTCACAGCTTTGAAGCACTGACCTCCCAGGGGACCCCAAGGAGTCTGGGGCTCTGTGGCCTGGAAGCAAGAGGGGCTGGAAGCTGTTAGAGGTGAGGTACAACCAGGCTGTTTAAACCCTACTTTCCAGGTCCATCAAATTGGCATTTACAGAGTCATTTCTACTGTGGGGCCTGTTTTTCTCCTTAGAACAGGGGCTCCCCAAGGTTGGGACCATGTTTTTAATCAGACCAGGGGCCTCTGGGAGTGGGGCTTAGCTCATCCTCTGTGTGGCCTCTTAAACTCAGCCCAGGGCTATAATGGCAGGTGGGAGCTTCAGCTCAGCAGGACCTCCCATCCAAGAAGATGTGAACCCCACGCTCCCTCTCCCTTCTCAGGCCTCTTCCCAGCCCACCCCTCTGAGACTCAGGGAAAGAAGAAGAGGAGGAGAAAAAGGCCTTCCCAGTCCAGGCATAGACCTGCCCAGGTGTGTGTGGGGGGGACCAGCTCACCATTTCATTAATGTGGAATTGTTTTTAGGTTAATAATCTTGCGTTAATTTTCCCTTAAAATATTGTCTTTGACCGTTAAATGCTCACACTGTTATAAAAAGAACGTAATAAATGATCTTGAAGCAAATTCTCCTGCCAAATGTCATAATTTATTTGCATAATTAGCTCTTAATTTTAATTCAATATGCAAATCCATGCTTCCTTTCCATTGCAGCCGCCTGTTTCCCAGCCAGGCGGCCATGAATTTACTGTGACGCTCTCTCCACGGCTGTCAGAGGCGGGGGTGGGGAGGCAGGCGCCTTCTGGGGCTGGTGCCTGGAGGAGGGGTCCAGACACCCAGATTCAGATGGACAGGCCCATGGGCCCTGCTACATAGATGCAACTGTTCATAGATAGACCTGTGTGGACACCAGAGTGTTGACATACAGACTGACATGTACAGAGACGCCCAAGTGCATACCACAGGCAGAGACCTAGAGGGGAAGGCACATGAACCCAGACCTATTAGCTGACACATTAAGAAATCCATGGGCTCCCACGAAGACACATCACACAGGCAGAAACACTGGCACGCATCAACACATGAACACACACTTCCGTGAAGTCCCACAGCCTCACATGCACTGACATTGTGAGACATGGGCCTGCCCACATATGCCTACAATGCAAACACCCAGAGCCCAGCCAGTGAGCAGAGGTGTCTAGGCAGAAACAAGACACAATACAGAGATTTATGAGCTTAGATTCAGATGTGCAGAGACACACAGAGTGTGAGACTACAATTCTATATGCACACACAGATAACAGCAGGCACCTCCACATACAGAAACTTAATAGCTCTTCAGAAAAGCCAGGATGCTGTGTGGACACCCACATGCTCATAGCATTTGGCTTTGAAGTCTTCATGGTAAGATTTCTGAGGCATTTTGAGCCTGTAGAAGGAGCACTGAGCTTAGAGTCAAGGGACCAAGTTCTAGGAGCAGCGCCAACTCCTGCTTGCTGGGAGATTCTGAGTGAGTCTTGTCCCTTTTTTTTAATAACAGCTTTTTCAAGATATATTTCATTTACCACACAATCCATCTATTTAAAGTGTATAACCATCACCATAAAACATATAAGTCATCTCCCCTCAAACCCCACACCCATTAGCGTCACTCCTGTTTTCCCTCAACACTCTCACCCCTGCCTCAGACCTAAGCAACTTCGAACCTATTTCGTTTCTCTGCATTTTGCTTATACTGGACATTTTGTATAAAGGGACCCAAAGATTGCACGCTCTTTTGTGTGACTGGTTTCTTTCACTTAACTCAGTGGTTTCAATATGCATCCCTGTTGTCACATCAATCAGTACTTTGTTCCTTTATATGGCCAAATAATATTCAGTTGTGTGGATATACCACATTTTATTATGATTTCACCAGGTGATGGACATTTGGGTTACTTCCACTTTGGGGCCATTATGAATAATACTGGTGTGATCGTGGCTTACCCATGTTTGTGTGGGGGCCTATGTCTTCATTGCTCTTGAGTTTATTTCCAGGAGTGGAACTTTATCTTTTCAGAGTTTGGTTCTCCCACCTATAAAATGAGAGGGAATTCATTTCATTCATTCTAAAGGACTCTGAGGGCTTGTCCAGTTGCATTTGTTTATGATTAACGTGGTGCTTCCCAGCTGAGATTATGGTTCTCTTCACACAGCCAGGGACACACACATTCATACACACAATCTCCAACACAGCCCCCCCGGGCACATACCATAGACACAGCGGCACAGATGCATCCCAAGTGGCCTAAACCCCCCTCAGGGACCTGTTACTGAACTTGGGGCCTGGAGAAAAAGATAGAAATGCAGTCAGAGAGACTGTGACAGCCATAGGGAAGAACCACCTGATTCAGGGAGGGTCTTTCATGGTGAAAGGTGGGAAGGCTTGGGGTTTGTGAGGAAGGAGATCTGCCCACTAAGGCGTGGTGAGAGGGTGAGGTGTCAGGGGTGGGTGGCTGGGCCAGGGTTTGGTGTGAACACCGGACACTTGGGCCCTGCTCCCCCAGGGGTTTCTGCCCTACCTCCCCCTGGCCAGGCTCCCCTTGGTCTCCCTGCCCCCAGAGGAAACACGACTCCTCCCCACCCTTCAGCCCCTCCTCCACCCCCAACCAGCCAAGGAGACAAAAGGGATCCTTTTCCAGGATAATTAAGCCTCAAAGACAGCAGCTCCTCCCAGGAAACTGATCGGGTTTGCCCTGAGAGAGCCCTTTAGTGTGGGAGCCGAGGGGAGAGGAGACAGGGAGAGACAGAGAGGGGACCAGCAGACAGGAAAGTGAGCTCTGGAGACCACCGGGCTGACACGGATTCCTGTGGCCATATATTGCCTGTCACAAAAGTTTGATCTTTGATTCTCTTTCTTAGAAGAGGTGGTTTTGAAGTTGGAGCCCAATTAGCTACAGACCCGAATACACTGTCTCCGCATAAAGTGCTGGGTATGGATGAGTGGAAAATGTCTGAGCATGTGTGGGCCCTGTGGATGCCCACTGTCGTTAAGGATGTGTGTTTATGTTGTTGCTGCGTATCAGTGTACAAGTGTGTGAGTGTGTCTGTCCCCAGTCCTCTCAGGCTCCACCCCCACCCATGCCCCCCTGCAGAAGACTCACTGTGCGGCCTCAGCGGAGTTTCTAACCTGGAGTGATCACTTTCCTGATTTGCCACTTTAGTACTCTTGTTAATGAATTTTTAATCTTCTTAATGACATTAAACACGGAAAGTAATTAAGGAAAACAAGTTTGAAACTGCTGACTTCAACCCTTTATTCACAACTATTTAATGTAGAATTAATTTGATTTTGCCCATTATTCAAATGAACGCGCTACCTTCTCCTCGGCCCCAGGCCTGTCCCCTTGTTCCCTCCCCACATGCCCAGAGACCTCCTGTCTCCACCACCAAGTTACCGCTGACCGAGTGGGCGGCGGTCTCTATGTGACGACTCTGAGTTGGGGGCCAGGGTGCGATGAGCAGGCCAAGCTCCTGGAGGGTGAGGGATGAGCGGCGGCCTCCCCGGGCGGGGAGGACTGCAAGGACTCAGGAGGGAGCCGGGAAGGGCTGATGCTGGCCTGCTGGACTGGCGCCTGCTCCCTTCCATCCCAGACTTCCAACCCTCGACACTCAGCCATCAGCTCCTTGGTGTCCTGTGACCTATGCACACAAATGCTTGGATGTCAGGGGACATTCGGATTCACAGGTATTTGTATTAGAATGTTAAAATCTGTAGTCTTCAAGATAGTCGGGTGTTTGGAGCCTCAGACGCTGCGGTCGTTCCCATGATCAATTTCAGTCTATTTTCCAGAATTTCAGAGAAAGAACTCCTTCCCCTTAAACCCTGGGCCTCAGGCTACTATTTGGTTGAGGCTAAAACCCGCAGGTCATAGCTGTTTGAGACTGGGCTTGAAACTGATCCAGGTCCTTGGAGCAGAAGCCAGGCGGGCCCCAGGGCAGAGCCAGCCTGCCCTTGAGCCTGAATGGGTTCAGCCTCCATCCTCCAGGAGTCCTTAAACAAACCCTACGCCCTGGGTGAGGAGCTCAAGGTCCAAAGGACCCTAGGGGACACTCAGGCCCTGGGTCTCAATGTCCTCACGGCCGGGGGTAGCCGGGAGAACAGCTTCAGCAGGTCACCCTCATTCTCTTGACTCCTCCCCACTTTGGCCATGGGTCCCAGATCTTGTTTTGGGTGGGAGTGTGTATTGTACCTGTGCAGCGGCAAGGACAGGAGAGGTGGGGTGGACGTGACCCTAGAAGGCAGCAGAGGGGAGTGGGGCAGTCTCAGCTCCTGGCTTCAAGCAGATGTGACTTAAATCCCGGCTGTGTGCGTCCGCGTGCCTTTGGGCAAGCCCTGACCTCTCCTTCCCTCCTCTCTGAAGCAGAAAGATGATTCTTACCTCAAGGAGTTGGTATGAAGATTAAATGGGATGTCACAGGCATGACCCCAGCACAGTGCCTGTGTGCAGGGGCCTTGCCCTCAGCTCCTGGCCCGTTCCCTCTAAGTCCCTTCAGTGAGAAGAAGAGACTGGGAGAATGTGCCAGAGAAGGAAAACGGGCTTCTTGAGCTAGGGGCCAAAAGAGGGTGTCAGCAAATCAAGGATTTGCCCAGATGTGCTCGAGTGGGGAGGTGAACTGTCCTTGAGGAGCTTCCTCCCTCTTGTTCCTTGAACAACCTCAGAACTTTTCCTTGGAGTCATTCCCTTGAATTATATTCCCAGGAGGGCTTTTCTCTCGGCCCCTCACACCTTGCTCTTGCCTCTTCTCTCCAACCAAGCCTCCCCAGGTCACTCCACTCATCTCAGCTCCTGGACAAAAACCGGCCTCCACTCCCCCCGCCCAATCACTCTGCACTGAGCCATGACTGGGCAGGGCTGAGGCGGGAGTCTTTCACCCCTTCCTCCCATTCCAAGGGCTTTATGGGCTGAGACGCTGCTGGCTTGCTCACTTCTCCCTCTCTCCTGTGCCTTTCCCCGGGATTCTCCATGTTTCTTTCCCCCTCTTTTTATCCTCCCCAGCCGGGACCTGCTGTGTTCTTCTCTACCTGCCTTTCTCTGAGTCTGTCCCACCTCCTTTGGTCACTCTCTTTCTTAAGAGACCACGGATTCTAGAACATTTCTAGCTACAACTGATCAGGGCACCCTCTCAAGAAAGGCAAACTGGCAAGGGGTAGTGGAAGGACCCCACCTTGAAGGGGCCCCCCAGTGGGGGTGGGGGAGGCCTTGAACCCAGCTATTCAGCTTAAGGAAGCCCAGAGTTGGCATGTCCCAGGTATCCCATCTCCCAATTACACTGCCCACTTTCTTCCTTGTTGACATCCGGGCAGGGCCAGGAGGGCTCTGAAGCAGAGGGCCTGATCAGTTTAGCACACAGTCCCACAACTGCTCCCCCACCAGCTCTCTCACACTCATAAAGCCTCTCACAGAGAACCCTCTTTCTCTCTCATGCACACACTCATATGCCTGATGAACTTGCACCTCCCTCACATACAGACACAAGCATGCGTATGCACAGTGCACACTCACAGACACGCACAGCACCCCCCCCCCACAGATGCATGCACACACATACATATATACACACCGAAATCCCACAGGCTCCCAAAAGCACAGGGCAATGATTAATGTCCCCTCAGAAAAAGAAATTATATCGAATAAATTAAACTACTGTGGCAGCAAATTGAAAAATAAGGATGTAAATGAGGTTTGAATACTTAATATCAAAGACAAGGGGGGAACAAAAAGGGATCCCTGGATGCCCTGAGAGGGGAGAGGATGCTCCCTCCTGCCCCCGGGTTGGACTCTAGCTTCTGTCTGGAGCCCTCAGAGCTGGGGGCCTGGGTGGTATGTGGGCTGCAGTTAGCACAGGGGACCGTCTCCCCAGTGCCATGGCAGGGAGGTCCCAGAGCTTCTAGAAAGACTCAAGGTAGGAGGATGGGGAAGAGGTGGCGTGACCACCTGGTAGCACCTCAAAACCCACCCCTGACAGGCCCTAATACACAAACAGACACTTGCTTTCAGATACAGCACACGTTCTTTTGAAGGCCCATCCTGGCCTACCTCAGCCCCCTATTCATCTCCCCCCAGGCCCTCATCCACCCAACATACCCAGACACACCTGATCACATATGCCTTGCTCAGCGTCCACAACTCCATCCCAAAGCTGCATGTGCTCTCAGAACTCACCTGCCTCCTCACCCCCGATGTATCCTACTTCATACACACACCCTGGGCCCGCCACACACATTCTGCCCAATGCCAACCAACACCCCAGCACTCAGCTGGCACAGTGCCACCCACAGCAACACCCTAAACACACCCCTGCACACACATATGCTTTCACACACCCACAAACTCTTCCCTTGGAGCACATCATGACATACCCGTGACACACACCCAGCAAACAGACCACAACACACACACATGCGCACACAGAAGGGTAGCCCATCCTTGGGTCCCAGTTCTCCAGAAATCATGAGGAGGAGTGGAGGTAGGGGTGGAAAATGCTTCTCTTTCTCCCCAAACTTTAAGGGAGTTCTCCCTGCACACACACACACACACACACACACACACACACGTCCTGGGTGGGGCACTTCCCTTCCATTTCCATCCAGCTTCCATCTCTGCCTCTCTGCCTCCATCTCTGGTGCTGTCTCAGTTTCCCTCACTTTGCCTGTAAACTGCTTTTCCCCTGTCGCCTTTGTCTCGGACACCCCGATATATCCCTGCCCTCCTCCCCTGCAGTCGCCGGGGCTGGGCTGCTCCCCACTCCCACCCCGCGGTACCCCCACCCCGTCCCCTCCTCCGCGTCTCTCGCTGTCGTCTCTGTTCATATATATTTAGTATTTATTTACAAGGCTGGGTTTTTTCCCTGGGCGGGAAGCCAGCCGTGCACAGAAATCCTTAAGATGCTATAAAGCTGGTGAGGTATAAAATGGAAAGTGGTTAGTGCGCTGTTTGGAGATATCTCACCGGCGGCCGGGGGCCCGCGCCGCCCAGCCGCCCGCTGTAAATCTCCCGGAGTTTAGCGCGCTTGTTTGTATCCGGCCGGGAGGGGGCACGGGGCGGGCGGGACGGGCGCCCCCCAGCCCTGGGACCCTTCCAGAGAGGCTGTCACTCCCTTCTCAAAGGGAGAAGTGGATGGGGACTGGGAAGACTCCTTTTGGAAAACAGAGGTTCCTCAGCTGTGCCTCTTCTGAACTTCCTCTTGTCCTCAAGGGGGACTGAAAGAAAAGGAGTGAAAACCCCAGAGCCCAGAGGTTCTCCCGTCAGTGCATGTGAAGGGATAGGGACTTGCAATTCGCCCCGCCCATCTGTGACCCTCCTCCCCACGAGTCCGCTTATCCTACCCCCAATCCCCAGGGGGCTGGTGTTTGCTGGGGGAGGAGATACCTCTGCAGCAGGCTGCTCAGGGACAGCGGGGAGTTTAGGCCAGGGAATCGAGGCTGTCACTGATAAACTGGGTGATCTCAACTAGTTCCCCTGAGGACCTGCAGTGGTATCATAACAGTTCCAACTCCCAGGGCTGGAGGGAAGATTTAATGAGTCAGGGCAGGTGAAGGATTTAGCACAGGGCCTGGTACACAGTAGATGCTCAATAAATGCTGACTAGTATGATTTATGCCAATCTGTCCAGCACTTTGTTCATCCATATGTTTAGTTAGTTGCTCATTTACTGGCTTATTTCATCAACTATTCACTGCCTCCACCCACCCATCCACTCAGCAGCCTTAAGCTTTCTGGACTGTGTAGCCTGGAATTCTGCAGAGGGTAGTGGACCTCCCAGGGTAGCTCCATTCTGGATGGAGCATTAAGCACTACACCAAAAGCGTAAAGGGCCACTTCTGGATCAAGTAGTGTTTCAGGGCAACTTGGAGGACAGGGCTTGCCCCACCCATCAGTGTGCCCTTCCTGGTCTGCAGTCCTGGTCTGAAGGTGCCCTTGGAGTTCCCTGGGTCTGAGAGTCACAGGAGGAGTGAAGGAGCAACTAGACTGTGAACCCCCAGAGAGCAGGTCTCATCCCCCACTTGACCCCCAACCCCAGGAGAGCCCAGAGCTGGTTCTCAGGAGCTGTCAGCAAGTGCCCTTTGACTGATGAGTTGGGAGGGCCGAACTCTACCACACTCCCCCCTCACTCTGGAGGGATGCCACATCTGTCATATATCCTGCACACACATGTCCCAGATCACCCAGACACATGTCAAGAGTACTGACAAAAAATTCCTAGGTGGTCACTAACCAGAACGGGAGTCTCAGAAGAGCCACATCTCTGTCACACAGTCATGTCCAGTTTTGCTGTATTGGTTCATTTGTTCATTCATTCACTCATTCATTCATTTCTTCAACAAGTGTTTGCTGAGTCTCCTGGGCTAGGGGCTTAGGGGGACACAAATGAACATTACTTAGTCCTGACTCTTAAAGAGTTTATAGTCCAGGACAGCTGTAGGGCAAGCATACTAGTAAGAAGAGAATCAGGAAAGCTACGATAGGAGCCAGGAAAGCTGTAGAGAGGACTAAAAGGTTCATAAGGAAGAGAACCTACTTCTGCAGGTGGTGGTGGGGAATAATGATAATAATAAAAATTATTGGAGGAAGGGCTCACCCCCCCCAATCAGCATGCCCATCCCCATGCCCAGCATGCCCATCCCCATACCCAGCATGCCCATCCTTGTGCCCAAGCATGCCCAACCCCATGTCCAGCATGCCCATCCCTGTGCCCAAGCATGTCTATCTCCATGCCCAGCATGCCCAACCCCGTGTCCAGCATGCCCGTCCCTGTGCCCAGTATGCCCATCCCCATGCCCAGTGTGCCCGTCCCTGTGCTTAGACATGCCTGAGGCACCTTGCTAAGCATTTTTCAGGGACCATTCAGAAGATGGCTTTACTTGAATGGTGTCTTCAGAGGATAGGCAGAGATGAGTTGCCGCAGCAGACCTGATGCCATTCCAGGAGGATGGCACTCCAGGAGGATGGCATCCAAGCTGAGGAAGAGCACCAACAGTACACAGAGGTGGGAAATTGTTAGGTGGAGAGTGTGCAGGAGAACCACTGAGCATCCAATTTGTTTGGCAAATGTGAGCATGAAGGAGAGGAATGGGAAGGCTTGGAGAGAGGGGTAGGTAGGGGCCAGATCACAAAGGGCCATGAACATCAGAGTAAGGAGTTTGTACTTTATTTAGTAGGCAATGGGGAACCATTGAGGGTTTTTGAGCAGGGGAGTGACATGATCAGAGCTGTGCTTTAGGAAAATTAATCTGGCAGCAGAGTGCAGAACAATTGGAGATGTGAAACTTAAAGGCAGAAAGCCCCACTCAGAGGAAGATGCCGCACCTGGTGACTGGTGCATGGTCAGTGCTCAATAAGAGTTTGTCTGAAGAGACTCAGGAGAGCTGTAATAAGGGCCTTCCTGGGGACAGCGGTGAAAATGAGTCAAAGGTGTGCAAAAGACAGCAGGAAGTATCTGATTTTATAAACAGATTGAAGGTAGAGATGAGGGTGGGAGAAGGACTAGAGGGTAAATGTGTGGGTGACAGATCTATTAACAAAGGAGGGAGTCACACATTGCTGACTTTAGGAGAGACATGCAAGCTTGTTTTTTACTAATCATCCTTGATCTGCCTGGACAGTGGGCTTGGATCTCAAGAGAAGCTTAGAATTAGAGAGTTCAACATGTCCATTACCTGCAGGGAGGTGAGAGCTGGAAGTTCCTCAGTTGGTTGAGCTCTCCTAAGACACAATAAGGAAGAATAATGAAGAGCTGAAGCTTGTAGTTGCATTTAGGGGAGTATGCAGGAAGTGAAAGAGACAGAGGAGTGTTAGGGACATGTGTAAAGCAGACAAGTGCAATGGACAGGGAAGTTTCTGGAGTGACCAGTATTCCAAAGGTTTCCATGGGATGGGGCCTGAGAATCAGAAGTGGGGTCTGTTGGTCAGGAGGCTGGACAGGAGGCCCTGTGCAACCTTTTGGGAGGTGTTGGTGGAGTGGAGGCGAGCAGGTGTTCCTGGGAGCAGGGAATACTCCAGGACATAGCATTCAGGGGCACTCTATCGCCTACCCATGGCTCAGACCAGCTCCCAGACTTGAGGTTCCCCCAGAGGACCTCTTGTCCTACTCCTAGATAGAGCAAAAGTGGGAATCAGTGGAGAGGGAAGGGGGAATCAATGAGGCTGACTCGGGATCCCTGAGACCCTCAGACAACACACTTAAGGCTTGTTCGGTTCCTGCTGTATTATTTGCCTGCAAACCATACAACTGTGCTTTTCTCCCTCTGATGTAGGTGACACCTTTGTCTGGTCGTCCGGCCGACAGGCTTGGCCATCCTCTACCTCAGCATTGGAGAGCTCCCTGGTCCACAGCCTGCTCCTCGGTCCTGGGCCATATTCCAAGCTCTTGGGCTGGTGATGCCCAGGCCCCCCAGGATCCCCAGAACCGTGGGACACAGGAAGTGGCTGGGACTTGGGACAGCAGAGGGGGCAGGACCCAGAACCTTGCTTTCCATTTAGGAGGAGAAAGGCAGGGGAGGTGGTGTGGGCCTCCACCCTCCCAGAGGGGACCCACAGTCCTAAATGCCCCCGTGCCTTCTCCATATTGTGGGAAAAGCTGTCGCATCCATCACTGTCAGGCGCCGAGTTTGAATAAATTTGAATGCACTGAGCCGTGGGCTGCAGTTTCTATAATATCACTTTCCAGTTTGAATATTTCACTTACTTTTTTTTTCAGATTTCTTTTTATCCAACAGTTTCTCCTCCTTTTCATCTACCCCCGCTGCAGCCAAGCTCGGGATGTAGAGAGAGGACAGTGCCTTGAGGGTGTATGAGATGGGAAGAGGCCAGGCCTTTACCAGCTCTGGCATCTCTGTCCTCCCACCCCCCACCCCCACCCAGCACATGTGCTCCCTGGGCTGAGAGCTCCATCTACCCCAGCTCGTGTAGCTGGGGGACCAGCAGCTGGAGAATGAGCCACCCTTTTGCATGGGCAGACCCAGAGTGCCAGGGTCCTGCTTCCCTGCAGGGGCCTGAGCCCCTCACCCACGGAGCCTCATCATAGGTACATGTGCACCTGCAAACACACACACTCCCCACCTGATATGCTAACTTATCCCTAGAGGTTAATAGCAGATTATAATTTCCCTGTGGAAAGTTTGCTCTTAAGTCCCTCCAGCCACTGTCCTGTCTTCTTCTGTAAATAGGGACCCCTCCTGGTTCTGGACCCTCTTCCGCCATCTCTCTACATCTTTTCACTCTCCATCCATCAGTGTGGTACCAATACAGCTGTGCCTTCTGCCTGAGGGCTCCTGGGAGGGAGAAAGGACTGGAGTGCTGGCAATGTGCTCCAGAGAGTCCCCCCCAGTTCCTCCTGGCCACAAGCCCCACTATTTGCTGGACTGTGGTTAGTGACGTCCCCACTCCCTGCCCAGAGCTCAGGGACTGGGGAGATCCAAGGTGCGGGCAGGGAAAGAGGCCATTCAAAACAAAGGAGGTCCGGACTGCTTTTGAAGTTAGGTCCAGATAGGGATGGGGAGGTGAGCACATTGAGAAGGGTATTCTGGGGATCATTTGCATCTGTATCTTTTTATAGCGACATCTGACCACACTGCTCTTTGGACCATCCTTAAGGTATCCCCATCACATGGACAATGTCTAGAGGGCAGTAACCACCCAGGAGGCTCAGGGACACTGACCATCAATGAAGACACTCTTCTTTATGGAGCACACTAACTGGCCAGGGGGGCACAAAGTGCCCCATCCATCTGAAGAGGACTCACATCGACCACATGTGGATCCCTGACCCTCCAATGAGTCACCGACCATCTAGGCTGTCTCCCACAGAGCCATTCCTTACAGAGCACATTCTCCTCCCTGCCAGAAAGCAGTTCTTCCTTGGGATACTAGTCACCCCCCAACAAAGCCCACATGTACCACACAGGAGGCAGGGGTGCGGGGGGAGGCAGGAGGGGAAGCAGGAGCCGGAGGCTCAGTGAGTCTGACTTCTGGAGGTGATGGGCAGTGTCCCGTTCTGTGCCAGGTCCTGTGTGCTCACAGCACAAGAGGCAGGAGATGGGGAGGAAGTGGTCAGACTTTGGGGAGCTCACCATGTGGTTGGGGAGATGAAATTGTCATTAAGAATAATATTTATTTCTACTTAAATTTTGCCTGCTTTAAAGGGGTTTGAGCAGATTTAGGACACACACACACACACAAGCACAGGGACCAAAGAAGTTAAAGAAAAAGAGAGAGGACAATTGGAAACCATTTAAGGCAGGAGAAGGATAAATGGACAGGAGATCTGGTCTGAATGAATACCTATGGTTAGCATGGCCATGGCAGGAGGGGCCCGTGCTGTATTTGTCCACCTCTCAGGGGCTCACTCTCTATGGGTTCAGGTAGCCAGGGAAGGCTTTGGAAGGAGGTGGAGCCAATCTGGGGTCTGACAGGTAGCAGAAGTCCTGAACAGGAAAAACAAACAGGAGCAGCATTCCAGTGGCAGGACTGCGGGGAGGAGAGTCCAGAGAAATGCAGCTATGAGGGCCAAGGCTGGGTCAGGGAGGGGTTAGCAATGGGAGTGTGAGGCACTGTGAGCAGGTGGGAAGATACAACACGTCCAGGGGACAATGAAGAGCTGGCAGTCCTTGTGGGCCACTGATGGAGAGGTGGTGGGGTGGTCAGTGTGCAGGGAGCTCTTAGAGGTGCCCCAGACTAGCTTGGCTTCACCCCAATATATCCTAAGTCTAATTCAGGCCCCTCAGCACCCTCTTTTCACAGCTCCTATTCTCCCAAGAGCTAAAACTCAACATCCCAGCAAAAACAGACCTCACCAAGGGAGGGCCCCCCTAAGGAGGGGGCACACACCCCTTGAGGGTGGAAGCCCTGAGCCTCCCCTCCCCTCAGTGTGCCCTGCCTGGGCCTGCAGTGGGAGGGAGTGTGGTGTGAAGGGAGAGGCTCTCCTGCCGCACCATGACAGATGATTGACTCGAAACAATATCTAAGGCGATCAGGATAAAGTGCTGGCCATTTCAAGGCTCAGCAGAATTCAGATTCTAATTAGACTTCTCACCACATTCCAAATAAAAATGGTTCCCCTGGTATCCTCTTTGCCTATCAGGTGTCTCTCCCTGATCGCTGGAACAAAACGCATAAAGAAAGTGATTAAAGCCATAACAAAGGCATAAAATTGGAATTATCGCTGCCACCACATCTGGGAGCACGGAGTGTCACCACACTGCCCCCTCCTCCCCAAACCTGCACACACACGGAAACGCTGTCCCACCTTGGCTCCTGGCCGGGCACCCTGCAATAACAGCCATCAGGAGGTGGGGGGTGGGAGTTCAGGGGGGCAGGGTTGGGATTAGGGGGGTCCAAGGAGCTCTCAGGGGTTGGGGAATGGGAGGCAAGTAAAGTGGACAAGTGAGGAGCTCCAGGCCTGGGGAACAAGAGAGGGTGAGTGGACTGGGGAGTGAGGGCTGGGCAGACAACAGTCAGTCTCTAGTGATTAGATACACACTAGTGAGGAGGGGCCTTGGGCCTCTTGCCTTGATGACCTCACCACCCCCAGGACATACATGCTCATGTTCACACACATGCAGGCAGGACTCACAAAGTGCTATATTTGTCCCATGCACTCCACGCGTTGTCCATCTCTGCTGGGGGATGCCCCTCTCCCAGCCAACTGACCACCAGCCCCTGACTAACCTACTGGCCAGGCCACTGGACCCAGTGTTGGTTTTCTGTCCCCTTTCCCAGCCTACTTCCAATAGGGGCACCCTCTTGGAGAAACTACTAAGCCCCCATTGGTCCCCAGCATATGTGCACAGCCAACATGCAATCCAGAGACCTTAGTCCCCAATGTCACATATCTGTACACATGCACACACGCACATGTATACCATGCCTATAACAATACCCTCACACAGTGCACCACCCTCTGGGTCTGTAGGAAAGGCCCCTTATCTTAGTGCGGTGCCCTGGCTACAGGGGCATCTCTGGTCTCTCCAGCTCCTTGGCCTCCCCGACTGCAGCAGCTGTTGCCCCTCACAGCTAGCCTGGTACCTGGAACTGGGCAGCCTTGTTCCCTGCGTGGGGTGGGTAGATGGGCGGGAGGTCCAGAGGAGGGTGAGGGAGTGGGAGCAGGGCTCTGAGCGGGGACGATATAAAATTAAAAGGTAAAAAGCAGGAACGCAAATGGAGGGTGCTTTCAGCTTTCACATTATTAATGACTCTTCAAAAAATCGGCGAGTTTTCCAATCTTCTCTGAGAAGCGCTTGAAGGAGCTCACAGATGAAACTGACCTTCAAAATGTTCTTTGGTCTTTAGTTAAGAAATTCGCTCGCCATTATGGCATCATTAGGGAAACAAGGATAAAATTACTCCATGGTTAATGACCTATAGTATCTCCCCACCAAAATTTGTTTCAGATCTAATAAAACTGTGCTTAACACACTCGGATGAGTTATGAGGACTGTTCTGCAGGGTATTAAAATGTGGAAAATAGATTTTCCGAAGCTGGGGGGACTGGACTTTTTGAATCAGATAGCAGAATGGAATTTTCTGGGCAATAAATTCTTCCATGTCTCAATTTCATCTCGCTCTCTCTCTCTCCTGCCTGCCTCTGCCCCTCTCTCTCCCTCACTCTCTCTCTCTCCCCCACTCTCTCTCTTTCTCTGTCTCCCTCTCTCTGTCTTTCATCTTTTCCTAAAATACTGAAGCAACACAAAAAGCTTTAGAATTTG